AAATTGTCATCGAAATTTACACTATTTTTTTCCTAAAAGATGTAAACAATAATCTAATTCAAGACAGCCAAAAGTCTTGGTCAATGCAATTAAGCAACTCCTCGAAGACTTCAAAGTTTCTAACGAAAACGCGTTGGCTGAGTGAAAATACATGAAAACTTCGTGCGCATTACGATGAACTTTCTTTTCACGTAACGCCATTTCTTTTTCTTTTCTTTTTTTTTTTATTAACATGCAATGCAATGATTGATCACTATAATCAATTTCGTATATTACTATTAAAATAAAATTTAAATACATTATAAGTCCAAACGAAAAATTGAATAAGTCACTAAAAAAGATCGACATCCTTGTGCATGATCATGTTTCCTAAATAGAGTATTGCTATTGTGATTTATAATTTATCTTAATTTTTTGATTTAATGATGTGATAGTTTATAAAATTAAATAATATTTGTTTGGTGGATTTTGGATTGCGACCTTGTCGATTTCTGAATGTACTTAAGATCTAAACACTTATCGAATCGACTTAGAGAGAATTAACGTGATATTCTAAAATCGTGACTATTAAGACGATGATAATGGATTGTAAAATTACTTGTAAACTCTTTTTGCTATGTCTTGGAGATTAAGGATTTAAACAATTTCCACTAAAGTAACTTAACGAACTAGAGTTTGAGAAAAGTACTGGAATTGAAAAGAACAATAAAACAAACAACAAAAAATAATGTGTACACTATTATACTCAGCAAACCCTCCCCCCCCCCCCCCCCAAAAAAAAAAAAAAAAAAAAAAATATCACTAGAGTAATGGTTACATAGTATAGAAAAATGAAAGAAATAAAGTAAGCAAGATAGAAGCAAGCTATGTGTATATATTTTTTGATCGAGAGATCGTTTTGGAGTTATCTTTTTCAGTCTAATCTTGACCACTTTCTTTAACATTTTTTTTGCTACAATTCTCTAACATCTTCAATCGTGCACCTAACCATTCATAACTGATGACTCATAATGTCACGTCTATCACACATCTTCGTTTTTTGAGATCTATGAAATTATATTCCTTACACTGTCATGTATTATTTAGACTCTTTCTGACTCACCTCTAATCGTTGGATCTTATTATGTGACACTCTTGGATTTATTTCATATTTGAGTGTAAACAATATTAAAATTATATCAAGTGGCACAACATTTGATGGCCCCGACCCAAATTAGACCCAAAATTATAAACCAGAACCATCTCAGAATGATGTAGGTCGAGCCCATTATAGGAGAAAGGAAGCTAGATTGGGTAAGTCGTGCCATCTAGAAAGAGTCAAGTCAACCGCATCATGAAGAAAGACTAGAACTGACATGCGAGGATATCTCATTGAGATGCGCATGTCACCACCTTCACGAAATTGTCTTGCATGTTATGAGAAGGGCGCCACCTCCACCGAACTACCTCACCTAATATGAGAAAGACGTCTCCTATCTCACTTGATAGGAGAAAGGCACCTCAATCTATTAGGAGGTGCTTATAAATTGTAAGTCCCACCTACACAAGGGGGTATCTCTCTCATCTCACTCACATCTGAGCACTCTACACCCATTGAGCAATCAAATACTCAAGCTATCCTAACCCTTCATAGTACAATATGTCATCTTGACGAAACTACTTAAATTATTTTTTAGTTGTGTTGACTCTTATCATTTGTTATTGCATTTAATACTTGACAGGTTGTGCATAAACACATTTTGTGCATCATGAATTTAGTACTGTATGTGGGAAATGACTAAGTTTTCACTCTACCGTCGTTCTATTTTTTCCCTATTCTTTTTCCATTTTATAGCTATTATAATTAGATCCATGAATCAACAAGGAGAAGGCAATGATCCACTATGTCGTGATGAGATCCCGCCCTCTACCAACAAACCTCGTTGTTGTGGCAAACCCTGTAGTCGGACAACAACTACTGGAGATAATATAGTTGTTGGTAAACTAAAATCAACAGATCCTCTAGTTAATGCTTGTTGGACACTCTCAAGGAGTTTTGGCCTAGTACTCAGGAGAGGAAGCACTCCAGGTACCTCGCCCAGGGCGCCAAGGTACTAGCGCCAAGCAAGATGCCCCCCGGCAACGCCAAAGTGCCCCATTGTAGCATCAGAGCCCCCTCCTTAGTGCCAAGGCACCCCCAACTCCCCTCCACGTTTGTGTGCTTCGTTCTCCCATGCTAGTGACCCTCATTTCCAAGAAGGCGAGGGGAAAAATCAATATGTGGACCATGAGAGCCACTACAACGACCATTCCCCCAACCATTGGGATGAAAAAAATCAAATAAGTGTAGAACCAACTCGGGCGTTGTCTTCAACCCCATGAAGGCGCAAGGGCCTGAAACGGTTGGGTACCTTGTGAAGCATATTGACAAGCTCTTTGTAGTTGATGTGGCAAACTACCCTCTTCCCTCCCCCCCAAAGTTTAAGATGCCAATTGTGGAAGCTTTTGATGGCTCTAAAGAACCACGAGACCACCTTGACACCTACAAATTCCTGATGTAGCTGTACAACATATCAGACAAGATCATTTGTAGGATTTTTCCTATCACGCTCAATGGATTTGCTTAGCAGTGGTTAGCCAAGCTTACCCTGACTTCCATTGACTCTTTCACTGAATTAAGCAAGTCTTTTGTCTCACACTATATTGGTTGATGCCGACACCAAAAGCCTACCACCTAGCTGTTTAGTATCAAGTAGGATCGAGATGAAACCTAAGAAATACCTCACTTGTTTTAACAAGGAAGTCTTCTAGATTGAAGAACTAGATGACAAAGTTGTCAGGACAGTCTTCATAGAAGGCCTACACTCATCTAGTTTTATACTTTCAGTTTTGAAGCATCTATCAAAGAACATGCTAGAATTATTATCAAAAGCTCATAAATTCATGAACGCTAAGGATGTCACCAAAGCTAGGCAAGTTGAATCCTCATGTAGAGGGGAATACAAAAAGTAGACACGTGAAAATTTTACTTCTTCACTAATTTGTGGTTGAAATTCAAATTCAGTGAAAAACAAGCATTTTTTAGGAAAATTCTATGCCCAAACCACCATAGGCAGTTTAATTCTGGTACATCTTGAAAAAACACCTAGATTTAAAAAAAAATTCACCTCAAAAAGATAATCGATCACAAAGTTATAGTCGTTCAAAGTTTTGCCACTTCTTCATGCTTTGCTAATACTCCACTAGCACCCACCACTAACCACCAGCTAGGTGCCCAATGCATAGCATCAACAACTAGCGTCCTTGCCCATGGTGCCCAGTGACCTCGTTGACAGTGCCTGGCACCCTTATATTTGTCGGCAGCACCCAGTACAAGCACCCTCACCTTTGTTCGTGGTGCCCTGGGCTAGCACCCTCACCCGCGATGCCCAGTGCTATCACCTTCGCCCTCTCCCGTAGAGCCCAGCGCCTTAGCCTGCAACACCCAGCGCCAACTCTCGCATACCTAGCGTTCGTGCCCGCTCGTCATCCACACAAGTAGTTTTAGTCTCCAGCTCAACGACTGTTTTATGAGGCGTTAGAAACTCGGCCTCACTCTGTCTCTACTCTCATGTAGGTAGTCTCAGTCTCCAACTTAGCGGTTCTCTTGTAAGTCGACAAAAGCTCGCCCTAATTCTATCTCTACTCTCACGTAAGTAGCCTCAGTTTTCAAAAACTTGGCCTCTAGAGGTGCAGCTCTCTCGTGAGGCACCCACAACTCCTCTTCTACAACCCTGTCGTGTCTACCTCTCCCTTATCAAAGTTCAACTACTAAAAGAGGACACAAACAAGATTTCTAGCTAATGTCCTCTCCCCCAAATCTCATTGGGCTTGGGGCATGGGGCAAATGATGGGCCCCATCCAGACCAGGTCCAAAATTATAGACCAAGCCTAAAATTACAGACCAGGTCCAGCTCAGAGGGATGCATGTCAGACCCACCAAGAAGGGAGGAAGGTCAGGCCAGTCATGTCATCTTGAGAGAGTCAGGTCAGCTATATCATGACAAGAGACTCAATCCACAACTGACATGCAAGGAAATCTCCTTAAGACGCGCATGTCATCTCCTCCACAAAATTGTCTCGTTTGTTATGAGAAGAACCCCACCTCCACCGAAATACTTCACCTGATATAAGAAAAGACACTTTAATCTATTAGGAGACGTCTATAAATTGTAAGCCCTACCTATACAAGGGGGGCATCTTTCACATGTGAGTGCTTTATACTCTTTGAGCAATAAAATACTCATGTCATCCCAGCTCTTTAGAGTGGAGTAGGTCACTTTGACTGAACCATTTTACTTGTGTTGACTGTCATAGTTTATTATGTATTTAATACTTGATAGGGGGTGCATAAATACATTTTGTGCATTATCAACATAAATTCAATAAATTAAATTAAATTTTTGGGTTCAAAAAATAGTTACTCCAAATTACCCGGGCATACATATTCCGTCCTATTCCACCGTCGATCTTCCTTAAATCTTGTACCATCTGACGGCCAATATTAATTGCTGACGTACGTACAAAACCTTCCAACCGATCACCCCGACTTTATTAATTGGATTCATCTCTCTCGCTGCTCTGGGTTCCTGCGCAACTCCCCTTCCCCCACTCGACCTTTTCTCTCTCCTCTTTTCCACCGTCTCTCCCACTCCAAAAACTCTACCACCAAAACCATGACTCTCTCTGTCTATCTTTTCCGTAGTCTCTTGTTGTTTTCCTCTTTAAATCTTCCTCTTTTCTCAGCATTTCACAAACACTAGCCTCTCTCTCTTATTTTTTGCCAAATGATAGAAGTGGGGAGTTAAAGGGGTCACCTAATCCATAAACTACGTATTCAAATTCCTATATTTTTAGCTCATTATGTATTGACAGATTAGAAATCTATGGTTAATCCTTCAATCCTATAAGAATTTCAAGTTTGGAGGTTTTTCTTACTCTGTTTTTACTTGAGTTGCAACTTTTGGTTCTGGTTTCAACAAATGGCGAGTTTTGAAATGTCCGACATCGATTTAGAATGCGGTGGTCACCGCCGTAGCTCCAACGAGGGCGACGATGGTAGCCTCTGCTTCTCCGACGCAGACGAGGGTTCTTGTTATTCTCAGTTTTACTCCACTGCTGATGGCTCTTACGATGACTATAGTTTTGCTTGCGCCTCTGAACCTGAGATTTGTGAAGTTTCGGGTTCTCGGAGAGTTTCATCGGTGGCCGACTCTGATTGCTAGGTGGATATCGAAAATGGGTTTAGTGAAATTAAGGTCCATTTGGGGAAAGAAGAGAGAGATTGTAGAATCTGTCATCTGAGTTTGGTGAGTACTAGTCCTGAGGCTGGGATAGCCATTGAACTGGGTTGTTCTTGTAAGAATGACTTGGCTGCTGCTCATAGGCATTGCGCTGAGGCTTGGTTCAAGATTAAGGGAAATAAGTGAGTTACCAAATTCCTAAATTTTCTCTGTTGCTTGCTATAATTACTTGAAATTATCTGTGAAATTTTATATCTTTTGATAAATTTTAGATACCCATTTGGAAAGTCTCATTATTAGGCAAGTTAGGATTTTTTTTTTATTAGGGATGTCCGGTCAGATCCTCCTCCAAGTTAGATCATCCACGCCGAAACTAGGATATTAATAAGAGATTTATGCCTCGTCGAGGGATTGTCAAGATTCGAGCTCTGACATCTGAAGTTGCCAAGATCCTCACATTATGTGGTTAACTGCAATTCTTCTTTTTGTAGGTCATTTGTCTCCTGATTAGCTCTAAACATTTGTGTTTTTTTCCCTATATCCTTCTATATGATTGGGATGATTATTATGTTGTGGTGTTCGGAATTATTAATTACCATTTAATTTATGAGAATAATAACTTTCTCAAGTGTAACGTAGAAGGTTGCTCTGTTTTAGGAGGATGAGATACCATAATTTTGTTTAGTGGGATGAATAATGAAAGAAGACAGTGTTAATTAAAGAAGATGAAGGAGAAAGTAAAGCAAAAGAGTAAAGCAGTTGGGAGGATTGCTCATAAATCCAATCACACCGACGATTCCTTCAGAACTGTTCTGTCCTTTTTCAGATTAAAGCAATTTTTCAATGTCATCTTTGAGATTCCTTCTTCTTTATAAAAGTGGAGATTTTAGCTGTGTACATATGTTCATGTCCAGAGACAGAACTAGCATTAGCATGGGGCCATGGCCCCCCTCCTCCATGCTCAAGAACCCCTACACACATATGTCTACAGTATTGAGCATCACTTTTGTATTGCATTGGCCCCTTAGATAATTTTTGCCCCTATTTTTAGTCCTTTACACCTATAATGACTCTATAAAATATTCTCCATGCAATGCAATGACCATTTGATAAATGAGATACTAATAAAATAATACCTCTTTATTTTTTAATTGTTGCCCGTAACCTAATAAAATAATCAAAGAATTCTAGAGAAAAAATCTTAATAATATTAACACAAGAGTTCTTGGTAGTCGGTAGTGAGAAGTTAATAAAAAATACTAATTTTTTTATTATACCTAATAAACACATACCTTCTAACAAATAAAGAACCTAATCGTTGAAAAGTCTACCTCTTCGCGAGAAGTGATTAAAGGCCGGTTTTGAGAAGTGTCTCTGAGGCTTCTATAGATGGGCATTTGGGAGATGTACTTTTTGAAAAGTCAACTATTTTTTGGTGCACCAAACACACAGTAGAGCCGGAGAAGTGCTTGCATCCGTGGGAAGTCCATTTGGGTTGCTCGCCAAACAAGCCCATAGATCTCAGCGTTTCTTATTATTCCATGTATTTAGTGATAGCTAACTTCTAATGCATACTTCACCAAACAAAAGAAAAGCTTTTTATGTATATGTGATCAAGGTTTAAAATTTTATACAATATTCGACGCCAATCTAACAGTATAAATTGTTCTGATACTTGCTGTGGATCTTTTGAAAGTTGACATATTGTGTGTTCATACTTTCATTTGTCATTTGCACCAGTATCCGTCATAAGTCTACCGTCTACACCACCATGGACCATGGTTGATATGGTTTGTTGGCAAAATCTCCCTGTGTCAATTGTTATGTCATCTCTTGAAGAATTTTTTTGCACCAGAGGGCACCATATTAGGCTGAGAAAGCGAGAGTATGAACTTAATCAAGATCATGATCATAATCGGTTACACAGATCACGGATGTTCTAGCTGTCTTTTCTTTTCTTGACAATCTGATAAAATCAATACTGTTTGAGCTTCTAACTGGCATCTTGCATCTTTTGTTGTCTGTCATGAACTGCTAACATGAGCTTTCTTTCTGTAATTTAACCCAACTTATGTTTCTCATCTATGTTATTGAGATGTTCTCAAGCTAAATATTAGTTTCATAGAGATTTAAATTCGGTTATTGTACTTTATTGGTTGTTTTTAATTTGCATCTGCAATGGCAAAATCAACTTTGAAAGAACTGAAAATGGAAGTCTTTGTTGTTGTGAAACAATACAGGGAACTCTTGAAGTCTTGATGAATCACTTTTTGACTATTTCCTTCTGAACATTTGTATTTCAAAGCTAAAACTTTTGAGGAATTATCTAGAATGTATCTGCTACTGTACTTCTCCTGAAAGAAGAAAAAAGTAAAGCATCGTCCCCTGGCTTGGAACTTGAAGGTTTTATCTCTTTGTCTAAAGAACGACACAGAGACTTAACCCAAGGATGCTCTAGTCTCATCAAAGTATGATCACTAAGTGAATGTAGAAAAATAGAAACCATGAGAAGTGTGGGCAGAATTCTGTTTTGAAACCTTAATATATGGTTATTTGAGGTTATATTTCATAATGATATTTGTGAAAACAAAATGCGTGTGTTCTGATCTGTTGGTTTTAATTCAATATCTGTGCCAGAAATTCCAGACTCTGTATGTTACAATGAATGCATACGACTAAATCCCTTATAGATTATTTGTTAATAAAAATGTATCTGCCATAGAAACTGCATATTTCTTTAACTTGGGTTCTTCCTATGCCCCTCTCCATGGATAACCTTTACCTTTTTGTTGTGGTAGTAGTTCAACTGTACAGATAGGTTTGTGGTTGGTCTATAATCTGTTTTGAACTATTACTTACCCATTTTAGTAACATTGTTTGCTACTCTCTCTCTCTCTCTGTCTCTCTCCGAGGTTGCATCATGGTAATGTCAATAGATGATTTCATCAGCCAGAGTCACTGAGGATTTTCCTTCATGGGTTACTCGTTCCCAGGGGCAAGGCGACTGGAAATGAAAGTCTCTTTGTCTCATCCATTCTCCATCTCACTGTCTGAACAAAAATAAGTGTTTTACAAATCAAATAAATGTGAACAGGAGCAAAATATGCTTTGTAGTACCATTTCCAGTTAGACTCACCCACAGACGTCTCCTGGAATTGGTTCCTTTTGTTTCTCTCTTTCTTTTATTCAATTTCTTCCAAACTTACACCTATATTTTCTTGTAGTTTCTCTACTTTTATGTTGATTTCCATGTTTCTCATCGTTGCAGGACTTGCGAAATTTGTAATTCAATTGCAAGCAATGTCGTCAGCATAAATGATATTGAACCACAACAGCAGGTGAATGAAACCACTGCTGTGGCAACAAACGCAGCCTCCGCACCAGTATCGACTCCCACAGAGACCCGAAGCTGCTTTAATGGTCACCGCTTCCTAAATTTCCTCCTTGCTTGCATGGTATTTGCTTTTGTTATATCTTGGCTCTTTCACTTCAACATCCCAGCATGAACTCCTTTGAAAGAGTTCTTGTGCCAAAATGGAATCGCGAAAAGAAAAAGTGGGAAAAAGGAAAGAAAATTTAACAATTGCAGGTCTTGTAATGACAAGAAAGACGATAATTTTATGTATTGTTTTTGATATGTTTATCAAAAAGAAAAAGGCGCGAAAAGAGAAAGGTGATTAAAAAATTCTCATTTTTCAACAACCGTAGTTGATTAAGTTCTTAGATTAGGTCTAAAATAGTATTTCTTAATATAGAATTACTTATAAGAAATGAGGAGCGAGACGGCAATCAATCTGGGTGGTGATTAGGCTTGTCAATTGATTGGTTTTTGATTTAAATTCGAATTCGATTTTAATTAGCTGGATATAGGTTAATATTTTTATTTACTGATAACTCAAATCTGAATTTGGATTCAATGTTTTATATTTCACGGATTCAAATTTAGATATATTATAATTGATCTGATTATGATCCGATTTGAATTGTTTGTATATTTTTATATAAATATTAAAGAAATTAAGTGATTATTTAAAAAAAATTAGTTGAAACATAGTTATAATTTCTTAAAATTTAGTTAATTAAGTTATTTATATTGGATTGGATTTTTGGATTAGATTTTAAATTATTAACGGATTTGAATATGAATCATGAAAATAAAATCTTTTAGATTATTGAATTGAATTTGGATAGACTTTTGAATTCGAATTAATCAAAATTTAATCTAAATCCAATTTGTTGATAGGCCTGACAGTGTGTATTGGGTGAGCTGGTTGATGGTGTGTGAGGGGATATAGTTTGGGCTTAGGGCTGACTTGATGGTGAAGTATTTGGGTGGTGGCATTGGTGGTGCAGAGTGAGGAGTTTGATTGTGACTTAGGGGCAGAAAGAATCATAAATAAGGAAGTGAGAAGAGTATATTTAACATTTTAGTAGAGATGGAATGTGCTTTTATGGTCCGTTTAGTACAAATGATGAAAAATAGGAAGGAAAAAAAGTAAAAAGGATAAATTTTTTATTCTTGAAGGAAAGAAAATTATTTTTCTTCTTTTTTGTTTGCTAAGAGGAATGAAAAGTAGGATGAATATATTTTTCATAGTTTGGTATTAGATGAAAAAGGAAAGGAAAGAAAAAATATGCATGCTCAATTTACAATTCTACCCTTATATTAATTTCCAAGTAATTAATAACAACAAGTAAAAAAGTAAAAGAATCCTTAAAAAGCCAAATTGTCTTTGCCTTCCTCTCATTTTCCTCCCACTTTTGGGAGAAAAGCAAATTGTGGACAGAAGAGAAAAGTTATCCCTCTAGTGTTTTTTTCCATTATTCTTTCTTTTGATATCAAATGGTGGAAAGCCTTTCCATCCACCCCATTTTCCACCCACTATTTTTCATCCATCCAACTTTATTTCCAACCAAACACAGTATTAGGTAGTTGTAATGACACAAGTTCAAATTGGAGAAGAGTAATAACGTACACAAGATGTTAAAGATTTATTCTTCACAAATATTTTAATTTTGGTGTGGAAGACTTAAATTTGCCTAGATCAAAGAAAAAATTAATTAAAGTGTGTGTAAATTGATTTAGACAAATCTAACGGCTGAACTGAAAAAAAAAAAAGTTTAAAATTTTAACTTGGTGTGCATGTGTATTCTAGATATGGGAATAATTCTATTCCTAATATGGTGGATTGAGCGTCAAAATGGTTGAACAACCCATCGCTTTAAAAAGGTGAACATCAAAAAATCGATGACATAGAAAATATCCTATCCTAGTCCTTTTCACTTCTTGTCTGTTGACGATATTCCTTTGTGGATTGTCCCGTTAAACCTTGTCAGTTGATTTTATTTTTGATAAGAATACAGTAGCTTTCGATGATTCTAGAAAATTAATAAAGGTTGAGCACAGGTGTAAGTTTAAACCACGAAACTCATGATAAGTAATACGGAATGTATAGGTTGGAGATCTCCAACAACAAGATTCTCGTGGGCATGATAATAGTGACAGCTAACACCTTTTAAAAGATTGCGTGTAATTGATAATGGTCTAATATTTTAGCAAATAAGTCGTAACCATCTCAACACTATTTACGCTAATTACACAAAAAGACGTTAATTATGAGAAAGTGACAAGGATCACACAAGACATCTGAAAGCTATCAATAGGGTCAAATCCCTCGCAGTGCAATTCAAGCAACTTATCTACACTATTACCTTGTGTAATCTTTCCATTTGATTAATAAAAACTCTCTCAGGAATAAGAGATTCTATTATGGTGAATTAGCTGAGTTTTCGAATTAGTAAATCACCGTAAATCCACAGTTCATCAAATTGCACCACAAAAGCCCCAAGAGCTTAAAGAACTCTAATTGGACATTCAAGTAATTCCTAAACTTCTAGATAGCACGCCCCTACTCAAACTACGTAGAAGATCACCATCGGTTTCATTGATCATGATAATTAATTACATGCTGTTGAAGGATTGGTACAATAAATTTAGGTGCATTCCTTCTCCATTACACATTCTAGCATGTCTTGCAAGACCATGAGCAGCATTACTGTCAATCCGACGAATCCAGCAAGCCGAGAAATCAACACGTGTGGGATGTAGTCTTGATTTGGTCGATAAAATTTCCAATAGCTGATAAGTTCGTCTGGCTATTCGTATTCGCAATCCCCTCGATCACATATTTCGAGTCTCCTTCCAGAAGAATACGTCTCAAACCGAACTCCACAACAACCTGGACAGTATAAGAGGCAGTCATTGCTTCCACAAGCTCTGCATTTAGAACACAGCCTATTTTTTTAACAACAAGCAATAATCAAAACTCCATTGCAATCCCTGATCACCCCTCCCATCCCGGAGTCACGATCTGAGGTAAAAATGGCACCATCAAAGTTGACTTTGTACACTCCTGGTTCTCTGGGGCTTTCCATTTTAGCAATAGCAGCTTCACCATGGCCCAACTCTGGAGGTAATTCCTGTGCATTCAAATATTGCTCATAGAACTCTTTCCAGGCGGGCTTGATTCCCATTGTACCATATAGCCCATGCCATCGTCATAATCAAATAACACTGCTTTGAATCAACCTTTTCCACCATTCCTTTAATCCATTCTTGGAAGGATATAGACATAGGATATGGAATTTGGAATTCAGCATCTTTCTAGACTTACAAAGAAAATGGGCAGCCAAAAAAAATATGATTGACAGACTCAGGGCCAAACCCACACAAAAAACAGGAGTCTTCAACCACAATGTTCTTTTTACGCAAATTATAATGTGTAGAAAGAGTATAGTGCCATACCTGAGTGTCAGTTGGAAGATGTCCACAGATAGGAAATGTCAATATCTCTTAGATTCCTGAACCCTAAGCCGCCCGATTTCTTAGATTGACAAAGTCTTTCCCAATTTACCCAGTGAATTTTCCTCTCATCTTCTTTGTGACCCCATCAAAATTTAGCCATAATGCTGTGTAATTCATTACATAGTGATATTGGTAGTTTGAAGCATGACAGTGTATGTCGGAACCGCTTGGGCCACTGCTTTGATGAGAACTTCCTTACCACCCTTTGACAACAACTTACTCTGCCATCCACATCCTTGTATTTTCTGCCACACCCTCTCACGTATTGTGCTGAAAATTTCTTTCTTTGATTTTCCCACTATAGACGGAAAACCTCGTCAGTTTATTATATTAGAATTAGATTGCTTGATTCAAAACCTTTTTTTATTACTAGTCGTCGAGGCTTATTATTCTCTTTTACATAACTTCACTCTACACATTCTAAACTGAGGGAGTGGTAAAATTGACACCCCTAAAAAATTGAGTTCAGCATGCAAAACTTGGATTAATTTAAGGTCCAACCTATCCTAGACTTCAGGCTCCAACTCAACCTTGGTCTTGATTCCAGGACTGAGAATGGATCATGACACTCCATATTCCATAGTCCATAGTCGTGCCGTTAATAACAGCCATCTCATGTTTTATTTTTCGTTGTTCAACAATCAGGAATGTATAAACTAACTTGCACGTATTTCGATTAATTTTTTTTTAATTTAAGTCAAAAATAAATCATTCAAGCTAGAACTAGGGTATTTATAAAGAATAAATCTCTCATGACTCGACCCAAATGATTGTCAAGATTCAAATTCAGTACGTCTAGGTTAACAATTCATTACTTAAGTTACCCATTTTTTGATACTTATCAAAGTGAACTCTTTGAAACGATGGAAAGTATTTGACTCCAAGAGAGAGAGAGAGAGAGAGCAACAATCACGAGGAATGCTAGTGAAATGGGCAATATATGGTGGAAAAATGATTAGATATAGAAACACTGAAATTCCAACATTACATGCAGGTGCTTTATGAAATGAATGGGGCATCAGCCAACCATTAGAAGCAATATCCTAAAAAGTTGCAAAGCGCCAACACCGAATTCCATCTTCTACAATACAAGTTTGCCAGTCTTCTCCCGAAACAGAGCAATGACTCTTTAGACCCAAAGTTGTACAAGTAGCAATGGCAGTCCTTGTAGCATCTTAAATAGTGGCAACGAACCAAACTATTATCATCTATACACCATTCATCACCGTCTCTGCATGTATGGTGTTGCCGTCTTCCAGAATCTTGCCATTGGCTTGAGTTCTCGGCCTCTGAACAGACACGGCAGTAAACAGTCTAAACCAATTCTTTGCACCTGAACAACTTTATGTAACTTGAATATCAAAGCAGAAGAAGAGCATGTAATGATTTTCATACCCAATCCGCAGGATCACCAGCATTCCCATTCAAGGGCTTGTGATTCTCTTCTTTAGCCCTGCTGTCCTTGCTCAACGGTAGGAAGAACGCCCCACTACGGTCAGGCATATCTGAATAAAGGGATCTGAAAGTCAATATTACAATAGAAAAAAGCAGTGCTAGACAATGGGAGAATCACAGATAATGTAGGTAGGAAAAAATTCAGATATTAACCTGGCAATTTATGGTCAACAAAGAACACTACCAAATTAACGGTATACCTGTAATAGAATCATATAATTGCATTGCATCAAAAAATTGTTAAGGCGTGTAAATCCAAACACAGAAACAGCAATTAAAATGCACTTAGTACCAGGCCACAACGATGTCGACCGTGTAATGTTTACGGGAAGCAATAATCAACAAGCTCTGAATTACTACAATTAACCAAGCACACTGCTTTATGAACCTGCAATACAAAATTAGGAAGCGACAATTGGTCAGGGATGGGGATGCAAACTCAAGTTGTAATTTTTCATTTTTGATTTTGCTAACTTCTAATTCCATACACATTTTTTTTTCTTTATTTACTTTTTTATAAACCTCTCCAACAGTAGCCTGTTGGTTTTCATCATCCTGTTCACAAAACCTAAAAATAATATCTACAAAGATAATGTAACTCAGCAAGAGAAAGAAACACATCATCTGAAGGGTAGAAACGGTTTGAAGTTACAAAAAAGAAATTGGCACCATTTTTAATTAAAATGCTCTTATTTGCCAGTATTAAATTAAATAATTTTCTCATTCCACTAAAATCTAAATAACCAAACATAAGTGATGAAGTTTCATTCACACAAATTAGCTACACCAATGACAACAATTATTAAAGAAGTGTTACCCAACTTAGACCTGCATCTACCATGAATAGAAGAGAAATTACCTATGCATGCCATATTTCTGATATGTTCGCACAAAAACTAGAGAGAAGATCATATGAGACGAAAATATCAAATCCCCACAACCATAAAGCACACCCCGAGGGACTGCACATTCATAAACGTCAGATGAGCACGGAGTTGGAATAATCAGAACCAGTAAGCAAAGGGGAGAGGATAGCAAAGGCAAATGCAACTTACAATTAATTAATAAGACTTCCAGTACACTGTCTGGACGAGGCAGCCTGGCAAGCTTCGAACCCTATAGGAGGTGAATTTTAATGTGCACAATTACAAACAAATTTATGTAAAATAATAACACAAAGGGGTTTTTATCATATAAGGGCTGCAAAATAAAATGATATAAGAAGATGTTCTGTTGGTTATTTACCTCACGGCAGTGATAGTTTGGACCAGGAAGCTGAGTAGAATAAAATGTTATGATCCGGAGAATTTGACAAGCCTGTGGCAACAAAATATAAGTTGGTTGAAATCTCTTTGACACTTGGCGAAACACAGCAAGAAATAAACACTTAAAAATGTGGTTCAGTGTGTGCCAGCTTTTGTGCACACAAGACCATACAAATACAGTCAGGTGACAGGTATAAGTTCATATTCTTCCAAAATTGTCTATTAGTAATGACTATCCCAGACAGTAACAACAAGCATATAATTCCCACATCATGAAAAAAATAAAAAAAACAAATGAAAGCACTTACAAATAAAAATGCCAGGACCCTGCACCACACTAGAACTGTGTAGATCTTTTTGCTCTTGAAAAAGAAAGGATGGAAAGTCCACTGCACCATGAACAAAACTCAAAATGAGAAAACTGGAAAGGATGAAATTAGAAAACAAAATACTAATACAATCCACAGGATGTAAATTTACAAATGATCCATCATCCACCCATAGCAGATTCATGATAATATAGCAACCAGTTTTTCAACAATACTTCAACAATACATAACATTGGAACAACATAGTTCCTTGAATCAATACATGCATATTCAAAGAGTGACAGGAAGAGGGAGAACCAAACAAGGACTAAGTATCTATATAGGTAGGTAAAAGCCAATACAAAAGCTAACCACAACAATAATGGCACATTGGATATCAGTGGAAACTACAAAAGAGGGAGAATCTCACCATGACAAAGGATAGAAAGATGAAGGTGAAGACACTCTCACTCATGTAAGCTTTGTCTTGCCCAAGCTCCTATAACCGCCATGAGATTGAATATAAGCACAAATGACCAACAATAAGTACTGAATTTTCAGAACAGTTAAGAAAACTGATATAAGTAATCCGCACCGGAAGAAGAAAGAACCCAGCATCCTGAAGTATTGGCCCTGGCCGATGAAAATAATGAACTCCTTTTGCAGCCAGACCATGAATATACTGCAGAAAGGAGAAATAGATTTCACTTCTAGGCATCTAAAACAAAACAGCATCAGGGAAGAAAGTCCAAAAAAGAAAGCACCAGAAAAACTAAGATATTTAACTTAAATTTTACAACAATGTACCTAAGAGAGTCACTAGCAACAACAATCAGGGAATGCTATTGATGAAGAGAGAAAATAAGACAATTGTGATATGCGGACAGGGTGTCATTATTGCAAATCAGTTTTTCACAATTAATAACTTAAGCCTTTATCTTGCCATTTAAATTCTCAAAAAGAAAATAGGGATGAAATCATCACCCACTGTAGTTTAATTCACAAGAAATTAACATCACACACACAAGGCAAAAATGAAAATTGAAGGCATTTCCAAGTCTAATGCTCCATTCAACCACCTAATGTCTGTATGGTTTTAGCAATAGCCAATTTAACAAGGATGTGCATTTTGGAGCAACTTTATTTTACTCAAGACCAAAGAGAGAGAGTGTCTAAGCAAAGCACAAACTTAAGCCTGAGCATACATAAACATCGAGTTCACATCATAGATAATTCAGATAGAGCTCCACAAATATGGAAGCAAATATTGGTTCAAGGATATATTAAGACCTGGCAGACAACACCGGCAACAATATACTTCCAGTTCTCGGCAAGAAGGTTGATTTCTGTTGCAGTCTCCGAATAAACTCTTTTCCATAACTTAGCATGCAAAAAAAAAAAAGGATCAATCATAGGTAAAAACTTGAAATAAAGCAAAATCTTCTATGAGAGACTACAGACGGCGAACCTTGGAAGCCTCGCGACTAATGTAAAGAGACATCTTCTTTGCGTGTGACAACCAGGCCCATACTACATCACCAACCAACTGGTATTAAGGTCCACATCATTCGTCTTAAACTCTCTCTCTCAATTTCTAAATTTCTTCCAAATCCACAGATTAATCCCAGCTTCAACGTCGAAAATCAGAATAATTCCGCGATTCCTCGAATGAAAAAACTCACACAGCCTTCTTTAATCGCAGAATCGTCGAAGAAACCAAAGCTCTAACAGTTTTTCAAAAAAACTCAAAGCGCGATCGAAGTTAGATCTCAACAAAAACCTAATTACCGAAATCGACAATCATACAAAATTATGAAAAAT